CACACACACACACACACATATATATATATATATATATATATATATATATATATATATATATATATATATATATATATATATATATATATATATATATATATATATATATATATATATATATATATATATATATATATATATATATATATATATATATATATATATATATATATATATATATATATATATCTTACGGTGAGATGACATGCTACGGTCAGATGACACAAAGCTCACCACTAGCACCTGCAAAGCTCACCAAAGACAACTACAAAGCTCACCTAACTGTAAGGCAAAGCTCACCATATTTTTTGAACACTTTGAATTTTTTTTGAAAAAAAAATCAAAGGAATTGGTGCTGACTAGACTTTGATCATTGACCATTGACCATCACCGGCAACCCCTGCCGCCGCCGCCACCGACCACCGTCGTCGTCGGCCGTCAGCCGCCGCCGACCTCCGCCGCTGGCCACTACCGACCTCCGCCGACCGTCGCCGCCGGTCTCTGCCGCGCCGCCGCTGTGGACCGGTGTTGCTGTTTTATTTTTTATTAATCTTTTAATTTTCAAAATTAAAAAAAATGAGTTTTGGTGTTCAAAGTGGTGAGCTTTGCCTTATTTCCAGGTGAGCTTTACATTGGCCATTGGTGAGCTTTGCAGTGTAATGTGGTGAGCTTTGCATCATCTCACCAAAGCATGTCATCTCACTGGAGTCAATCCCATATATATATATATATATATATATATATATATATATATATATATATATATATATATATATATATGTATGTATGTATATGTCCAACTTCCTTTGGGGGGGAACTAAAGATAAACACAACTACCCTTGGATGGAATGGGAAAAGATCTGCTACCCTAAGGAAGAAGGAGGATTGGGACTCACTTCCCTCATCACACTACAGGAAGATTATGCTCTTAAGATGTGGTGGAACTACATAAAAAATGACTCACTTTGGGCAGCCTACATGAGAACCAGATATCCAAGAGGACTCAACATTCATCCCCAGGCAATTGATTCACCCACATGGAGAAGACTTTGCTCAATTAATGAAAAAGCACCACTCACATTAGGCATCACTGCTGACAACAGAGTTAAATGGAACACTGGGGAAATGGACTTCAGCATTAAACTTGCAACAAAAAACCTAAGACCCCACAACCCACACATACCTGCAATGTCCTTCATATGGAACCCCACACAAATACCCAAAGTCTCCACCTTCCTCTGGAAACTCTACCATAGTCTCCTACCGTACCCCCAAAAACTAACAAAGATGGGATATAACCTCCCATCATTCTATTTCTTGTGCAGGTATAGTGAAGAATCAACATGGCACTCCTTACACGAATGCCCTTTCAGCAGAGAAATCTGGAATTATTTTGAGGAACTCTTTGGAATTCACAGAAGTGTCAACCATGGAATAAGAAGTTTCCTCTTAAACTGGTGGAATCAGCTGAAAAAAAACACAAAGGACTACAACCTAAAAGTTGCACTGCCAGGATTTATAACGCACGCTATTTGGAAAGAGAGGAACTTTCGCATCTACAATGAGGAAGAACATACAACAGCCCAGATACAACACCAAATCATCAAACAAATTTACGAGTATAGCGCAATTAAAGGGAAAGGAACCAATATCACTAGCCATCTACCAGTCACAAAGATGGGAGAAATACAGACCTTCAGATGGATTTTCCCAAAGCAAGGAATCTGCGTCACCACAGATGTTGCAATTTCCCATGATCGTATGGCAGCAGCAGCGATCATCCGGCAGAGAAACGGAAATTTCATTGGAGCATGGACAAAAATTTCGCAGGGTGAAACAGACCCAGAAGAAGGTGAGGTAAAGGCCGCAGCGCTAGGAGTCAAACGCAGCAAATTTCTTGGTCAACCTATTAATCTCTACATGGACTCAAAGAATGGGGTGAGAAAAATTAAAGAATCATCCAACTACTCCCACAAAGAAATCATGGAAACAATACAGAAATCAGGGGGGAAAATAAGTCACATTTATCGGGAAGCAAACACTGCGGCACACAACCTCGCAAAGTTTACACTTAATAACGATTTCAGCACTTATTATTCTCAATTGGAGCATCTACCCAAAAATGTCAGGGCGGCTCTAATCATTGATGCATCTTCGGTTTTCTTCCGTATTAAATAATGATAAAATTTTCATTTTAATATATATATATATATATATATATATATATGTATGTATCTATATATATATATATATATATATATATATATATATATATATATATATATAGGGTTGGGTTCTAATAAGAATATGTCTCAATGAAAGAACTAAGAATGGATTAGGAGCCTAGGATTAATCTAATCGTGTGGCTGAGATCCAACCTTTAAAATAGGAAGTGTAATTATTATTTTACACTCCTTTTTACAGTAGAATCGTCGAGGGGCATATTTGGGAGATTTGATTTTATTGAAATGCGTAGATGTTGGAGAATACCGCCTAATAAGCCGCAGGCTCAGAATAGAACTCTTCACTTCTCAATAAACCTCGCTGGTTTCGCTGCCTTTCTTGCTCTAGTGGTGCAGAGATTTATCATTCTCAAGGTGTTATTGGAGCATTTGGGTCGGACTTGTGCCCGTTTCGTACCACCGAAAGAAGATTTCAGACCCAAATCAAGAGTAAATAAAGAATTTGTTTAGAATGTAAATATTGAAATGATTTGTTGAAATAAATCATGAGAATAATTGATATGAATTAAATGAGAGAACCTTTTATGAGAAAGGTCAATTAAACCAATTTTTACTATGTTAAGGTCAAACACCCAAAAATATGATGTCGGAAAAAGTACTACAAATAAATATAAAAGTTATATCGTTGGATAGAGTTTGACTGTCTGGTCGCAACGATGCAAACAGAATTCAATTCGGAGAAAGTTGGATAAAAAAGAGTACCCCGACTGGGACCGAAATTAGTCCCAATCAGGGAAGAATCGTGTAAATATCCGATCGGCGCAGCCTCCTCCACTACGCGACTTTCATACGCAGAAATGAGTCAGCCAGTGTCCTCTTCCCCTTCTCTTCTTCTATATAAGGATACTCCAGCCTTACCAATTCTGCACCAATCTTCTGGAAAATTATACCATTGTGTTCATAAGAGTGAAGGGAGCAGTCTGGTGTTGTTAGTTGCCGCCGAAGTCGCCGGAGTGGGGAGTAATCATCGCCGGAAGTTCCGCCAGAAAATATTCAAAACCTTCATTTACCTTCAAGGTAAGCCCCTAGATATATCTAATGACTAGAATGTTCATATAGATCGTTTCTACGTTCATAAATGGTCATTTGGTTGAGTTTTGAATTTGACATGTTTAAAGAACCAAGAATCATAAACCTTGAATTTGATGTTAAAAATATGTTTTAATAATTCTAATATGATCTATATAGTTTAATTGAGGTTCGATGACTAAAAATGGTTTTCCCGAAAAATGGACCGAGGTTGAAGACGAATGAACAGTGGCTGAAAATCCACAGAGTGGATCGATCCCTTTCATTAGATCGATCCTCTAGGAGTTTTTCTTCTAGTTGGATCGATCAAGAGGGCTGGATCAATCCTCCGAAACTCTGGTCTGAAAATTTGTCTGAAATTGCTATTTTTGAGCTCTAAAATCCTATTTTTGATACCAATTGATTATGATTATTATAAAAATGATTTTTCACAACAAAAATGATGTTTTTAACAAATTAAAACATTATGTGATGCATGACGGTAAGTTCGGGTGTTAACACTCGAGACTAGGCCGCTAATTGTTATTAAATGTTATGTT